GCTAAGTTGGCAACACTGCTCTTTGCATGGTTTGTTTTCAAATGGTTTGCTGCTGTCTGTTTGGACCTTTCTGAACATGTGCAGCAAATGGACTGATCCAATATGGTGGACACTGAAGGGGGGGGCTGAGACACACTTAATATTATCAGCGTTCTGATGGCATTTTAGACAAAGGATTTTTATCAAAAACATAATTAATGTGCAGAAATAAGGAATAGTTGTATTAACTGTACATGGAAACAGAGTTTTATGGGGCCCCCAGGACCTCGGGGCCCTAAGCAGCTGCCTAGTATTGCCTAATGGTAACCCCCCCCCCCGCTCTGAGGAGGCCAACAGGAAGTAAACCCTGATCTGTTTGACATAAAGCCATCTGTTGTCGTTCCTCATCGTTTTATGTTGAGAAGATCAGTCTGAACGCGGCTCCACTTCTACTGTCCTCCTAATGAAGGAAACCCAGTGATAGAAATGCAAAGTCTAGATTTCCATCAGACTGAAGCTGCGTTCAGGAGACAAACGAGAGAAGAAACGAGTGTGGATTGTCACGCTGTGGTGAACTTCCTGCTGCAGACCTGACTTCAAACAGATGTTTTTACAGAGCATCTGGACCCGTTCAGGGTGGAAAACATTTATTTTATCGTTCATAGAAATAAACTCAGAATAAGATAGATAATCAACCCAAGATTGTTCAACAGCTAGAAATAAATAATTAATTCTTTGGCTCCCAAAAGCATTTTAAGGTCCCATATTTGGCCTATAAAGTAAAAAGTTTGGACGGCCCTGAATAAAGAGCCGAGTTCTTCCAGCCTGATCCTGTTCCTCCTCAGACCTGCTTAAAGCTGCTCTCTGCAGGCTGCTGGGGGGGGGCAGGGGGCCCTGAGACCCTCCAGAGTGATGGATGGATGACGATGATTGTGGTCGATCAGGTCAGAGCTCAGATGTTAGTGAACTTAGTGAATCCTTCATTCATCAGGATGAGCTTCGGGAAAAACTCTAAACTTTTAGAAACGTCTGGTTCTGCTTCCTGCTGGAATGTTTTAACGAAAGCAGCCGGACGTTCAGCTGGTTTGGATCTAAATCCGCCCTCGCCGTCATCCTAATGGCGGCCATGTTGGAAAAGTGGTGGCTTTCTTTAATCAGATCTGGGACCAAACAGGACCTGCTGTTGCTTCACATCTGTAAACATCGCAGAGACCCTCATGGTCCACGGCAGTGGAGCAGACTGTTAAAGGTCTGAGGCGGGTCGTCAGATAATGGTCCTCAGCCAGACGATGATGTCAGCAGAGGTCAATGAAAGATGACCTCAGATTATTTCTGATGACATAAATCCAGTAAACATGTTTATTTGAGCTGCTTCCATTTTCCCCAAACAGCAGAGAGAAACAACCTTTTAGGACCGGCCCTCGGTTTAATGGACGCCATTAGCACCGCAACGAGAAACAATTAGCCAGCGTTAGCATTAGCATTTATCCTGGCCCGTGGTTGGAGATCCGTCTGTTCTGGATCAAAGCGTTCACCGTTTCTTTCCTCTTATTTTAATCCTATCCAGCGTCTTATTCTCATCCCACCGTCACCATTACAGAGCAACGAAACTCCCTCCCTGCATTTAACCCCTCCCCTTGGGGAGCAGTGGGCTGCCATTGTGTGGCGCCCGGGGAGCAGGGTGGGGTTAAGGGTCATGCTTAGTAAGAATGGCCGTCTGTGGGAGTGGGGCTCAAACTCAGAACCTCTGGATTCAAAGCGCTAATCACTAGACCGCCACTCCCTTAATGGCCGCCACCCCTTAATGGCCGCCACTCCCTTAATGGGCGCCACTCCCTTAATGGCCGCCATCTCTTCCACTGTGTTCAGGGATGATGGCTGCCAGGCTGTGTCTTTCTGCAGCTGAATGGTGCGTCTGGATGTGCTAATAGGATAGCATCATGTTAGCTGCAGGGCTGTGCTATAAAGGCTGTTTTTAGTGCCGTGATGCAGAGAGAGAGAGATTGATGAGGAAGGCATGAACACGGCTAACGCTAGCAGAGTGCTAATTCCTGCAGCTGAGGGGAAGAGTGTAATAAAAGCTTCTGGCTGCTCAGAAAGCGACACCAACGCATCATCATCTAGTCTCCTGCACTCAAAGGATCAAAGCGGTCGGATGTTAATAAAAACCTTCACTGTTTTACGGATACGAAACGCCTCGTTTAAATTCTCAGACGTTAAAAGTTGTATCAATTTCAGCCTAAAAGCAAATGAAAAGCTAAGCTAACTGCTAGCTGGCTATGGCAGAAGCTCAGGGTGTTTGATGCCTGAGGGCGTCTTACGCTGGATCCACCGCTTCTGATTTAAAGCACCTTTTCTAGATTATTTCAGGTGTACAGGAACCAACGGGGCTCAGGTCAGCTCTCACCCACTGGGAGTGAGACTCACCCATCTCAGTGTCACACTCTCACTCCATATTCACAATTTCTCACACTAAAACATGACGGACATTAAAACTAAACTCCGTCGTGTATAAAAACACCACGGTGGAAATCCAATGGTTCGGTTTCTCTTTACCTGCTGCTGTTTTTAGACCCAGTTTTAGTCCAAGTTAAATAATTATTGCTCAGTCTAGTTTAATAATCTCTCATTGGAATTTAGGAATAATTAAACCAACATAAATGTTTTAATTCTTAAAGCTTTCAGGTTTGACTCTCAAACCCATAGAAGCTCCAGAAAAAGAAGAAGAATGA